AACTGTGAATGGCTACCAGACACTGTTAGAACTAATAAATAAGTTCAGTAATGTTACAAGGTATAAAATTAATATATAAAAATCTATTCTGCTTTTTTCAAAGATTTCTTTATTTGAGAGCAATTGAATGAGCAAGAGATAGAGCCCAAGCCAGGGGAGGGGCAGAGAAGTAGACTCCCTGCTGAGCAGGGAACCTGATGTGGGACTCAATCCCAAGACTCCAGGATCATGACCTGAGCTGAAGGCAAACCCTTAATCCACTGAGCCACCCAGGCGACCTTTATTCTGTTTTTATACAATAATAATGAGCTTTTAGAAAGAGAAATCAAGAAAATCCCATTTGTAGTCATATCAAAATGAATATCAAGAAATAATTTTTCAAGGAATAAATTTAAGCAAGGAGGTAAAAGACTTGTACATTGGAAACTATAAGATATTGAGGTAAGTAGATAAATGACAAATGAATGGAAAGAAATTTCATGTTCATAGATTGGTAGAATTGATATTGTTAAAATGCCCATACTACTCAAAGAAATCTACAGGTTAGTACCTCTGGTGAGGCAACAACAAGATTCAGTAAAATCCCTACCAATATGCCAATCACATTTTTCACAGAAAAGTAAAACAAATAATTCTAAAATTTGCATGGAAACACAAAAGACCTCAAATAGGCAAAACAATCTTGAGAAAAAGAAAAAAGTGAGACATATGCTCCCTGATTTCAATGTCTAATACAAACTATACCGTTCAAATCAGTATGGTATTGACATGAAAACAGACACATAGATCAATGGGACAGAATAGACAACCCAGAAATAAACTCACACATATATGTTTGATTAATTTACACAAAGAGGGCAAGAATATACATTAAGGAAAGGACTGTCTCTTCAGTAAATCATGGTGGGAAAACTGGTCAACTATATGCAAAGTACTAAAACGAGATTGCTCATTTATATCACATACAAAAATCAAACTAAAATGTATTAAAGACCTAAATGTAAGACCTTTTTTGTTTTGTTTTATTTAAAACTTATAGAAGAAAACATAGGTAGAATTCTCCTTGACATTGGTCCTAGAGATGCTATTTTGGATATGATTTCAAACGCAAGGGAAACAAAATAAAATATAAACATATGGGGCTGCATCAAACTAAGAAGCTTTCCTGCACAGCAAAAGAAAGCATTAACAAAATGGAAAGCAACCTAAGGAATGGAAGGAGATAGTCTCAAAAATATATCTGATGAGGGGTTAATATTCAATGTGTACAAAGAACTCATACAAATTATTAACAAAACAATCTGATTTAAAAATGGTCAAAAAAGAGGCACCCGGGTGGCTCAGTTGGTTAAGCATCTACCTTTGGTTCAGGCATAATCTTGGGGTCCTGGGATTGAACCCTGTGCTGGGCTCCCCATTCAGCGGGGAGTCTGCTTGTCCTCGTTCTGCCCTTCCCTCCCTTGTGTGCATGACAAATGTAATAAAATTTCTATTATAGGAGTCCCAGAAGAAGAGGAGAGAGAAAGGGGGGCAGAAAATTCATCTGAAGAAATAATAGCTGAAAACTTCCTTAAAGTCGGAAAGGATACAGACATCTAGATTCAGGAGGCAGAGAGAACTCCCACCAAAATCAACAAAACACATTCTAATCAAGACATATTGTGAATAAATTTGCAAAACCTAGCAATTAAAAAAATCTTAAAAGCAGCAAGACAAAAGAGGTCATTGACTTACAAAGGAAGACCCATAACCCTAGCTGCAGATTTTTCAACAGAAACAAGGCAAGCCAAAAGGAAGTGGTATGATATATTCAAAGTACTGAATGGGAAAAATCTGCAGCGAAGAATACTGTACACAGGAGGGCAGTCATTCAGACTAGAAAGACAAATAAAGAGTTTCCAAGACAAACAAAAACTAAAGAAGTACCTGACAACTAAACCAGCCCTTCAAGAAATAGTAAAGGGGACTCTGAGTGGACAGGAGAGACCAAAAGTGTCAAAGACAATCATAGATCAGAGAAAACCTCCAGAAAAAAAATTACAAAAGAAGTAATGAAATGGCTATAAATACATATCAATAATTACTTTGAATGTAAATGGAATAAAGGCTCCAATCAAAAGACATAGGTTGTCAGAATGGATAATAAAACAAGACCCATGTATATGCTGACTACAAAAGACTGATGTTAGATCCAAAGACACCTGCAGATAGAGAATGAAAGGATAGAGAAATACTTACCAAGCACCTGGATATCAGAAGAAAGCCAGAGTAGTAACACAGATATTGGACAATTAGAATTTATATCAAAGAATGTAACCAGAGATAAAGAAGCGTACTATATCATAATAAAGGGGACAATCAACAAGAAGACCTAACAATTGTAAATATTTATGCACTCAACATGGGAGCAACAAATATATAAAATAATTAGTAACATACTTAAGGAACTAATTTAATAATAACAAAATAATAGTAGGGATTATAACACCTAATTTATATTGTGGAGAGATCAGCCACAGATAGATAATAAATAGATGATAGATGATAGGTAGATATAGATAGATAATAGATAGATGATAATCAGCCATAAAAAAGAATTATTCAGCCATAAATAAAAAATACAATTTTGTCATTTGCAACAACATGGATGGAGCCAGAGAGTATTTTGCTAAATGAAGTAAGTCAAAGACAAACACCATATGATTTCACTTATATGTGGAATTTAATAAACAAAACAAATAAGCAAAGGGAAAAAATAGAGAAAAAAAAAAGAAACAGACTCTTAACTCTAGAGGAACAAACTGATGGTTCCTAGAGTGAGGTTGGAGGGGCAATGGATAAAATAGGTGACAGGGATTAAGGAGTGCACTTGAGATGAGCATTGGGTGATGTATGGAAATGTTGAATCACTATGCTGTATATCTGACACTAAGATAACACTCTGTGTCAATTATATTACCTCATTAACATATAGCTGTCATAATAATGATGTGTAAGAACAGTAAATTAACTATGCTTTGTTACATTTACTTTTTTAAAGATTTATTTATTTATTTATTTATTTATTTATTTGAGAGAGAGTCAGAGAGCATGAGCGGGGGAAGAGCAGAGGAAGAGGGACAAGCAGATTCCAAGCTGAGCATGGAGCCTGATAGGGGGCTGATCCCATGACCCTGAGATCATGACCTGAGCTGAAATCAAGAGTCAGAAGCTCAACCTGCTGCCACTCAGGTGCCCCTTGTTACTTTTACTTTCATATTTAGTTTATCAATAATCATTTAATTGACTTATGAACCTATCAGGAATAAAAATAAGCATAATCGCTCATATAAAACAATTCCATCTTCTTATCTGCCTCTCTGTAGTAGGCTGTCTGTGGGATAAGAAGGTTCATTCGTTGACTCCACAAACACCCAGGAGACTCTCCATGCTGCAGCAAGTGAGGTCAGCCTAGTGGCCTTCTCTAACGCTGGTATCTAATGTAAGAGGCAGACCACACACAGTTCCCTGAACAGACAATATGCTCTCAGGCTTTGAAAAATGGGAATAAAATATGCTAAGAACAGAAGGTATAATGGGGAAGGGCTCAGAAAGGCGGGGTTTTTTTTCTTTAACAAATGTTTCATCTCACTTTATTTAATCCATCTGAAATAGACTATCTCCCTTCTGTCTCTGACACCAGGATTTTTTCTGCTCTATCCTGAGGAATGCCTGTCTGTCTCAATGCTCCCACCCCTCTCCACACAAACAGTTTCCTCCTGTTCCCTTCATTTCCCTCCCCAGCTGTCCTCTGGGAATATGGCAGCCCATGTCACCCATCAAAGAGTAGCTATTTTCTCCTCCAGAAGCTACATGGCACAGGATTCCAATGGGGTAGGTGTCCTCCCTGCTTTTCCTTGGTCCTCCCAAATCATTTATCCCCCTTGTCCTTGCAAACTCTCAGCTACTTTAAAGCAAATTTCTGGATTGGGGCATCACACCATGCCTCTGTCATTCTGGAAGCAGTGACATTGAGGCCGATATGCGAATGGTGTGGGCAATGGCTAGGCACCAATGAGGAGGGGCCTCTGGGGAGCAAGTGAGCCCAGTGTGTTAGGTGTGAAGTAATCCATCAACAAGGCTCTGTCCTCGGTGGTATGAAATTGGTAACATTAATGAAGTGAGAGAAGAGGGCCCTTGGGAGACATTAGGGGCTAGGGAAGGAAGAGATGAGTAGGTCACATTCAGGGTGCATAGAGGAAACATAAACTCAGACAGTGCAGCTGTAGATGAAAGCAGATGCTCTGACAGAGCTGCCCAGTTCTACACAAGAAAGAGAAGCAAGGAAGCGTGGTCTAAAGAGAGCACGGAAGTCTCCATGGAAGGATATGTTTACATCAACCCCTAGATTTTGGGAGACTTTGAAGGGGTTAGAAATGGTGGGGAAGACTGTTTATGTGGAAGAAAGAATATGAGTGTGGCAAAGATGCAAGAAAGACAATGTCATGTAAATATAATTACTTTAGTTTCAATGGAAATGGGAACTAGAGATAGGGAGATTTTATGTTGTCGCTTGTTTGTCTGATTATTATTTTTAACGTGTATAGAATGGAATGTGCATACAGTGTAATCTAGCAGATTTTCTGCATGCTCAAAACAGTGTTCCGGATAGAATAAACTAGACTAGACAAAAAGTGTACTCATAGGGGGAGAAATTGGAGGCAGACATTTACTTGAATTATCTTTACACTATTATAATTCTTTGAAATTCTATGTCATAAAAGGATGTGTTATGCCTTTTGAATAAAACACACTGGAATTATCCTAGATCCATTATCCAAAAAAATGTATGACCCGATACGAATGCTAAGGAGAGCAAGAACACACCACGGAAATGTCTTGCCTTTTCCCTTCCCAAATTATTTTTCTAACAATTTGGTGAGTTACTTTTCATTAGTATTCACACATTATTGTGAATAATAAATTGGCTCCTAAGCTCCCGGGTTTTATTTCCTGTACAGATCTTCCAGAAAGAATGCAGGACCACACATCATCACCTGTAGATGTAACTCACAGGCCAAAGGAGTGAGAAAAGTGTGCTTCCAGTCCCAAAACTCTGCCATTGTCATTGTCTGAAACTGACTTCATCGGCCACACTCTTCTGACTTCAAAAAGAGCTGTGAAGTGTGTGATCGTATGTGGACAGTACTGAACCCATACAGATCTAGACATTCTACTAACAAAGGATAGAAGAGATGCTTTAGAGTCACCATGACGACCATGGACTGTAGCACCATGAGGAGGAATAACCATGGGAGACATTTATGTCAGGAGAGTTGGTAAGAGATGGTGATTTTTATATGGAGGAGCGCAGAGATAAAGAAAAGTTGGGATAACTTTTTTTTTTTTTTTCTGATTTCTGGCTCGGGCTGTTGTAAATGGTGGTACCAATGGTGATACATGCTTCAGGAGACTTTGGCAGTTCATTGTTAGGCACGGTGAATTTGATGTCACTGTGAGAGACTACTCACAGGACTCCCTTAAACTGGCATGGCAGCAACAACGAATAGATACAAGTTGGCCATGCAACAGTTCCTTGGTGTATGATTCGGTGTCCCGAAAAGTCAAAAGGACAAACAAAAAAAAAAAGTTAATTATAATGTCAATTAGCTAGTATAGAATGAAATTCTGAGCAGCTCAGCGGATTGGTTTCATAATAAGGAGCACTGCTTAGCTCTCCACACATGCCTGTGTTTGTGTATATGGGTGGGAAACAAACCACACGCTGTCATTCAGCAAACTGCAATTCCACTTCCCCCAGAGAACCTCATGGACCAATTTCACCAGGCAGAGTACACAATCTGCTTCTTTCTCACAACATCGAATTCTATTTCTTTACTCGGTTATATGCTCTCATATCCTGAATACTACTCTCTCTTTCTAGAATATAGTAGTTTAAATGCTTATTTAAAATATAAAGTATGTTGGCTAACTGAACATAATGAAAAATTAATAAAAAATAAACCAAAATAATTATAGAAATACTAATACTGCAATTTTAGAAACAATAATAAAAACAACAGTAATAATCCTTGTCCCTATGTAACGACTAAGTGCTAAGCTCTGTTCTGCGTGTGCATGTATGTACCTGCGTATGTGCATGCATCTCTGTCATATACTGTGTTGTCTCTTAGTCTAGAAAAAAAACTTTGATAAAAATTCATTTGATAAAAAATTGATTTGATAAAAATTCATTTCAGATAAAATTTCATGTCTGATTGATGTGTTGTATAATAAGACAATATAAAATATTTCAAAGATACTGTATTTGCATTGTATTTTCTTGTTTATCTCTTCAAATCTTGGAAATTTTTCACTTATATTACTACTCTCTTAATATAATCATTTGGTCAGTAGCATACCCATTCCTAGGGAAAGTCACACTATCATACATTTATGGTATGCATTTTTCATGTCAACTCCTTTAAATAAGCAATGATTTTATTCCATCCATATTTAGGGAAATCCATTGTTAGACCTCTGCCTCTTCTATGAAATTCCATTACAGTCAATTATCAGCAAAGACCACTTAACTGGAATCAATTGCACACCAACCATGTAAGTCTGGAATTTAAGACAGTGCTTATAATAGCTATATCATTTTGGTCATTGATATCATACATTTTTAGAATACATCCAAAAATAAAAGTAGCATTATCTTTTAGTATAAATAGAAGCATGTATATCAATCAGACTTAATATTCCCAGGATTTCTACATTAAACACCTGAAGATAAATATTACTCAGGAAGTAATGATCTATTATTTTTGTCCTTCATCTTACAGTCAAAATTTTAATATAAAGATGTAATGTAGGAACATACAAATAATTGAATAGATGTGTAGTCTTACTAATTTTATTGAATAGTTTCCTTCTATTTAAATGTAATTTCCCTTCTGTTTAAATTTAAGGAGATATTCTGAATGTTTTATTCATGTACTGAGAGATGTGACAGAAAAATGAAAAGAATATTTTTCAAACTAGTTAAGTCAAATTAGTGCTGCATAATGAATTTTCAAAATGTTGACAAATGTAAAATGGTAAAAAATATTTGAGCATATTGCATTCACTAGGTAAAGTGCATGGGAGCCTTTCTTTTACCTGGGAGGCAAGTTTGGGATATGACTGTGTTTATAGCTAAAGACTTGGTATCTAATGATGACAGCATCTTCTATAATTAGTCTCCAAACTTCTAGAGGTTAGCATGGTGTAAACTGCATGTTACGTTTCTTTACTTACATTTAGTATTATTAGACAGAGAATATTTAATGTCATATAGAGAGAAAGAGACTATAACTTTATAACGGTAGCACAGATTTGGAAGATTTTACAGGATATGTAACATTTGTCTTCCCACTTTTAAACATAGTGTTAGGAAGCTCACCATTAGAGTATACCTCTTTGGATTCAAGAACACATTTCATTCAACATTCTGGATGGCATAGAAGGTATCATTTTATCTATCATTCTAGCATCATGGAAGGATATTCCAGATGCCCGATTGACCAGTTAGGCAAAGATTCTTAAAAGATGGTTGTACACCTGGGGGGCTTAGTTGGTTAAGCAGTGGACTCCATCTCAGCTCAGCTCTTGAACTTCAGGTGCCCCATGGAAGTGGAAAGAAAGTAGCAGAACCTAGAAGATGAAGTAGTTGTTGAATTTATTAGGGAGTACTTCTAAAATCTGAAGACAAAATGTAGACAAAATATTCTTGTAGAGGCAGCACAAACTCTTTAAAAATGTAAATATAATTGATATATTGTGGATAACTTTGGATATCAGAGTCCATAGTCAAAAATACCTTGAACAAACATTTACTGAGAACCTACAATAGGCCAGGGACTACTATGTGATGGGGTTCTGCAGAAAATAGACATTACATATACTTTTTTTTCTTTTTTTTTTTTTTTTAAGATTTATTTATTTTAGAGAAAGAGAGACAGGGAAAGGGAGGGAAAGTGTTAAGCAGACTCTGTACCTGTGTGCACAGCCTGACCTGGGGCTTGATCTCATGACCCTGATATGACAACCTGAGACAAAACCAAGAGGTGGGCATTTAACTGACTGTGTCTCTCAGATGCCCCCACACTTCTCAACACTAAAATCGAGTATGGATTTTTAATGAGAATGAGCATAACAATTGAAATCATTAATGGAAAATGGAAAACCAGAATGACAAAATTATTTTTGGCAGTGAGAAAAAGTCAACAACTTTGGATAATGATATATTGAATTTGAGTTGTCAATAATATTCATTGATTTTTTTTATTCATAGATTTTAAAGACTAACTTATGATCCACCAGTTCATGGAAGGCATCGATGTCCTTAAATCTCAATCCATGTCCTTACCAAATTTTACTGAGCTGTTGGTCAAACCAGTCAAAACAGCAAGACCTACTTAAACATGTATATATCTGCAACGTCATTCAAAGGTTAATCTTTTCATATACCTAACGTTATAGCAAAACAGTGGTCACATTCCAGGCCATCAAAATAGAGTGTAGAGGTTGATTTCATAATGAAGAATCTCAATAATCACTAAAATAAAACAGAAAAATACACATTATTTATATTTTATCAGGGACATATTTGTACATTTGCTTCCCAAAGGGAAAACCAAAACACATTTCATTCAAACTTAAAAGAGTTTTTTTGTTGTTGTTTTTAAGATTCATGGTGCTTGAACTTACAACCCTGAGATCAAGAGTCACATGCTCTACTGACTAAGCCAGACAGGAACCCCAAACTTATGAATAGTTCTTAAAGAAGGCAAATAACTTGTTTTATATGTTATTTATTTTTCATGATTTGCAGCAGTGTTTTCTTAAATTCTCTCTGTGTGTATAAGTATGTATGCATGTATATCTATTTATTGAGGGATAGATCATACATAGTGAATTTGTGCACATATAGTAAAGGGAACACATCTAAACAATTTCATTATTTAGGAAACAATATGATTCTCTATATAAAGAATTAATGAAATATAATTCAATTTTGAGGCGTTAATAAAACTGGCCCAATCAAAATATATTCTTATTTTAACTGAATAAAATTTTCATTTTTTACATTTAAATGCTGATATTTACAAATTACAGATTAAATTATAAATACAGATTAAGCTAGTTTTTATAGTATATCATTACTTATTATTTTAGAAAGATGTATAAATAATACATTACATTTCATTTCCTTTAAGCTTTATCCAAATAAAAAATGAGACAGAAAATTGAGTGCCAAATGCTATTCATTTATTCAGGTATTTAAAGGATATTATTGAGCAACTACTATATACCAGGCATTGTGTAGCCATTCAGTTTATACAGAGGGCAAAACAACGATTTCACATTGGGAAGTTTAAGTTCTGATGAGTTAGAATGACCATAAAAAATAAATGTAGTTCATAAGTTTATTGAATATGTAAAAGATGAAAAGTGATTTGCAAAATACATCAAAGGACAGCACAGTAAGGAGAAATAGGCAAGTCGGGGGTTACTGAGATTTTAAGTACACTGTTCAGGGTAGGTCTCATTTAAAAAGTGACATTTGACAAAAAATTGAACTGCATTTAAGAATACGGAATTAAGACTACATGGAGCTAACAGCTTTCTCAATAGACCAATATCATCAGTTGATTCAAGCAAATAAATGGCCATCTTGTAAACCAAGCCCACCTCCAAAGCTGGTTGAGAGTCTGTTGACTTGAACTGCAAAATCTGCATCACTCTCATTTTATTATGCTTCTAAATGTAAATGAGTTTGAGATTTATGCCGCTGCATTTTAGCTCTATTTTTTTCTATTTTAGGAAAAGAGTGGAGTTCATGATGGGGCATGAGAATCACAGTTTCACCAGTGACTTCTTTCTTTCTTTCTTTTTCTTTCTCTTTCTTTCTTTCTTTCTTTCTTTCTTTCTTTCTTTCTTTCTCTCTCTCTCTCTCTCTCTCTCTCTCTCTCTCTCTTTCTTCCTTCCTTCCTTCCTTCTTTCTTTCTTTCTTTCTTTTCTTTCCTTTCCTTATTTTTTAAAGATTTTATTTATTTATTTGACACAGAGAGAGACAGCGAGAGAGGGAACACAAGCAGGGGGAGTGGGAGAGGGAGAAGCAGGCTCCCCACTGAGCAGGGAGCCCGATGCGGGGCTCGATCCCAGAACCCTGGGATCATGACCTGAGCCGAAGGCAGACGCTTAACGACTGAGCCACCCAGGCGCCCAGTGATTTCATTCATTTAGGACTCTTTTCTTCCTCTCAATCAAGTCTAGTTTTCATCTCCTTTATATTCATCATTTTTATTATGACTATAACAGAAAACACAATCATGATCCTCCTTATCCTCAGGGACTCAAGACTCCATACTCCAATGTATTTCCTGCTCAGCCACCTGTCTTTCATGGACATCTTGCATATTTCCAACATTGTTCCCAAAATGGTCACTGGCTTTCTGTCAGGCAGCAGAACTATTTCATTCGCAGGTTGTGGCTTCCAGATATTTCTATCCCTCACCCTCCTGGGTGGTGAATGCCTTCTCCTGGCGGCAATGTCTTATGATCACTATGTAGCCATCTGTCACGCACTGCACTATCCCATTCTTATGAATGACTATGTCCGCATTCTCATGGCTAGAGGGTCCTGGATTGCTGGGACCGTCAACTTCATAGTCCACACAGCTTATGCACTCCAGTTTCCCTTCTGTGGCCCAAGAGCCATTGATCACTTTTTCTGTGAAGTCCCTGCCATGTTGAAGTTGTCCTGTGTGGACACAACACTCTATGAACGAGGAGTTTATGTAAGTGGCTTAATTTTTCTCCTTGTCCCTTCCTCCCTAATCCTTGCTTCTTATGTCCAAATTCTCCTTACTGTTCTTCAAATGAAATCATCAGAAGCACGGAAAAAGTCATTTTCTACCTGTTCCTTCCACATGATTGTGGTCACAATGTACTATGGGCCATTTATTTTCACATACATGAGACCCAAATCATACCACACTCCGGGCCAGGACAAATATTTGGCAATATTCTATACCATCCTCACACCCACACTGAACCCTATCATCTACAGTTTTAGGAATAAAGAGATGTTCTGAAGGCAATGAAAAATATGCTCAAAGTCACTTTCTCCATTAAAGATAGTAATAAAAATGCTTGAAGCATGTGTTTTCTATATCAATATTCAATGCTTAGAGATTATCCATTAGTCATATCTTTAGAAAGAAAATCAAAGTTTCTATCCATCAAGAGTGGAAAGTGGATTTTTCCAAACCTCCAATGAAAATAAAAAAAAGTTTTACAGGTATTTGTTTTATAAATACATACATCCAGAAATGTACTGTTCCCTCCCATGAAAAATTCTAAGAACTTATAAAAATTGACTTTTATAATACAATCACGTTATATGGGATCTATCCATATAACTTTTGTATTTCATGAAACAGTAAAATTATAATTCCAAGGTTACAAGCACTTATCAAAAATTCATAAAAAAATTATAGGCAAAAAGGGTGCAGGTGTTCAAGAGGTAAAAATTCTAGTTATATGATACATAAGTTAAAAATAAGTAAGTCCTGGAGGAAGGGGCGGAGCAAGATGGCGGAGGAGTAGGAGACCTGGATTTCGTCTCCTCTCAGGAATTCAGCTGGATAGGGATCAAACCAATCTGAACACCTACAAACTCAACAGGAGATCGAAGAAAAGAAGAGCAACAACTTTCTGATCAGAAAAGCGACCACTTTCTGGAAGGTAGGACGTGCGGAGAAGTGAATCCGAGGCGATATTCGGGAGGATAGACAGTGGGGGAGGGGCCTCCATCGGCCGGTTCTGGCAAGTGATAGAACCACGGAGCACAAAATCGGAACTTTTAAAAGTCTGCTCCGCTGAGGGACATCACTCTGGTGGCTAAGCGGGGGGTGGAACCCTCCGGGACAGTGTGGTCTCAGGACCCTTGTGGTCACAGAAAGACCGGGGGGTGCCTGAGTGTGGCAGAGCTCCCAGGTAACGGAGCAGGGAAGCCGGCTGCAGAGGCGGAGCCCAGGCGCAGGCTCTCAGCTCGGGGTCGCCATAAACTGGGATCCGCGGCACAGTCGGGTGCCTGCTCCTCCAGCAGGGACCCAACAAGCGGCAGATCCGGGGAGACTCACCTTCCTCCCCCGGGAGGAGCCGCGCAGGAGTGCACCGCAGGGATCTGCTGGGTTTGGAGACTCCACCCAGGGTTGGGTGCCAGAGACAGAAACGTGCGGTCACAGGCCGGTTGAGCACGGAGTGCAGCTGCAGACCGGGGAGACGAGAGTGACTGACGGCTTTTCTCTGGGGGCTCACTGAGGAGCGGGCCCCGAGTTCTCGGCTCCTCCGGGGCGGAGATTGGGAGGCCGCCATTTTCACTCTCCGCCTCCAAAGCTGTACGGAAAGCTCGCAGGGAACAAAAGCCCCGGAGAGCAAACCCGAGCAGATTACTTAGCCGGGAGGGGGCAAGGGCGGGGCAATTCCGCCTCCGGCAGAGACATTTGAGAATCAATGCAACAGGCCCCTCCCCCAGAAGATCAGCGAGAACAGCCAGCCAAGACCAAGTTTACCAATCAATGAGAACGGCAGGACTCCAGCGCTAGGGGACTACTGCACATAGAATTCACGGCTTTTTTACCATGATTCTTTAGTCTTTTAAAGTTAATTTTTTTTAACTTTTTGTCTTTTTATTTCTTTTTGAATTTTTCTTTTTCCCTTTTTCAACCAACATCTTATCAATCCCTTTAAAAAAAAATTTATTTTTCATTTTTAGAGCCATATTCTATCCCTTCATAGTAGTTACCCATATTTTTGGCTTATATATATAAGTTGTTCTCTCTTTAAAATTTTGAGATAGTTTCTTCTAACAGATTAAAATATACCCTAAATCTCTAGTATATGGTGTTTTCTATTCCCCTGCCTGATCACATCCTCTCCCTTTTTTTTTTCTTTTTTCTTTTTTTAAATCCTCTTCTTTCTTTTTTCAAACAACTTCTTATCAATTCCTTTTATAAAATTTTTTATAATTTCCATTTTTACAGTCATATTCCATCCCTTCATCATATCAACCCTTATTTTTGTACATATATAAGTTTTTCTTTCTTTAAAATTTTGGGAGGCACTTTCTTCTAAAAGACCAAAATACACCCCAAATCTAGTGTGTGGCACTAATCTATATACTATATAGATCATATTTGATCACATTCTGGTTTTTCTTTTGTTGTTGTTTTGTTTTGTTTGTTTTTGTTTTTATTTTTATCTTTTTCTTTTTTTTTTTCTTTTTCTTTTTTCTCTCTTTCCCTTTCTTATCCCACTGCTTCAGGTCTTTTCTGATTAGTTTAGAGTATATTTTCTGGGGACGTGGTTACTCTGCTAGCATTTTGTTCTCTCATTAATCTATTCTCCTCTGCACAAAATGACAAGACGGAAAAAATCACCTCAACAAAAAGAACAAGAGGTAGTACCGACTGCCAGGGACCTACTCAATACGGACATTAGTACGATGTCAGATCTAGAGTTCAGAATCATGACTTTAAAGATACTAGCTGGGCTTGAAAAAAATACAGAAGTTATTAGAGAAACCCTTTCTGGAGAAGTAAAAGAGCTAATATCCAACCAAGTAGAAATCAAAAAAGGCTATTAATGAAGTGCAATCAAAAATGGGGGCGCTAACTGCTAGAATAAATGAGGCAGAAGAGAGAATCAGTAATATAGAAGTTGAAATGATGGAAAATAAAGAAGCTGAGAAAAAGAGAGATAAACAACTACTGGATCACAAGGGCAGAATTCGAGAGATAAGCGATACCATAAGACGAAACAACATTAGAATAATTGGGATCCCAGAAGAAGAAGAAAGAGAGAGAGGGGCAGAAGGTATAATGGAGCAAATTATAGCAGAGAACTTCCCTAATTTGGGGAAAGAAACAGGCATGAAAATCCAGGAAGCACAGAGAACCCCTCTCAAAATCAATAAAAATAGGTCAACTCCCCAACATCTATTAGTAAAACTTACGAGTCTCATAGACAAAGAGAAAATCCTGAAAGCAGCTCGGGAGAAGAGATATGTAACCTACAAGGGTAGAAACATTAGATTGGCAACAGACCTATCCACAGAGACCTGGCAGGCCAGAAAGGAATGGCAGGATATATTCAGAGCACAAAATGAGAAAAATATGCAGCCAAGAATACTCTATCCAGCTAGGCTGTCATTGAAAATTGAAGGAGAGATAAAAAGCTTCCCGGATAAACAAAAACTAAAGGAATTTGCAAACACAAAACCAGCCCTACAGGAAATCTTGAAAGGGGTCCTCTAAGCAAAGAGAGAGCCTAAAAGCAACATAGACCAGAAAGGAGCACAGACAATATACGGTAACAGTCACCTTACAGGCAATACAATGGCACTAAATTCCTATCTTTCAATAGTTACCCTGAATGTAAATGGGCTAAATGCCCCAATCAAAAGACACAGGCTAACAGACTGGATTAAAAAACAAGATCCATTGATATGCTGTCTGCAAGAGACTCATTTTAGAACCAAAGACACCCCCAGATTGAAAGTGAAGGGGTGGAAAACCATTTACCAGATCTCTGATTCATTTCTTGGGTGTTCTGAATGAATTGATAAGTATGTAGTTGGATTTGAGGGCGGAGTTCCCCCCATAACTTTCTGATTGGACGCAGGACACGAGGACTGTGAACCTGGTGATACGCTGGATTTTGTTATCGTCCTTCTAGGAGAGCTGAATGCTGTTTTGACAAGCAGGTAATGAATTGTGATACACCTTCATCCTTTCGAGGTTTAGGTGTATTGTGAGAAGATGTACCAAACATAACGCCTACCATTCTCTAAACTTCTATTTCAGCTTTGATGGGTGACTTAACAGTAGGATTTCCCTAGTGCCATGTTGTCCCCCTTACCCCACAACAGTGATGTGTCATAGGGTCTAATGTCCCATGTCTTCACTAACATCGGTGTCAGCGTTTTAGGGAAAGGTGACTCTGTGTGACACATTTAGCTTTCTACTGGTTGAGTCTCTCAGCCTCACCATGACCTTCACTATGGATTCATCCCAAATACGAATTCTTCATCTTAAAGAAAAGCTTATCTATTTTCCTTTAAAACGTTTCTAGGCAATGATGTCAGGAAGGTCACTGAGATAGCCATCAGTCATTGGCCAGCCAAACTGCATGGTGATTGGCCACCCGAAGGAAGCCAACGTGACAGCACCCTGGTGATTGGCCAGGGCATGGTGGTGACATCACAAGAAGGAATTCTCATGCCCCAGAGCTGTTTTAAAAGCTCGGCAACAGCCACGGCTGCACAGAGGAGAGAGATGGCGCTTCAGCTACAGCTCTTCCTGCTATTCCTAGCATTCTCTGACCTTTTTTCGGCCCTGCCCATGGCAAGCCCTCTGCCCACTCCTCCTGCCCTGGGCCGTTCACCAACACTCTGCAGTCCACCTTCATGTTTGCACCTACCTTTGCAGCCCTGTGTGGTCCTGAGGTCCTCAAACCTTCATCCGGCGACTCCTGGACCCTTTTCCCACTATGAGAATGGCCCAGCTGCTCAGGAACACATCTCATTTGGCACATGGGAGTGGGACACTGGAAATCAGATCACCATGGATTCTCAGCCAGCTGGTTCCCACACCTTTGGGTTCACAACAGGGCTCAGCACAGGAAAGCTGAGTCCACAACCTGAGGGAGCACTGGGCACATTACTATTCTGGGGCCCTCCAAACCAGCTCAGCACAGGGAACATGAATGAATTGAATGTCCATCCGTCCCTGATGTCGACAATGTTTAGAATGCCTACAGACACCAGGGAGAGCGGGACTTTTACAAAACAAGTAAGTACTGGGGGAAGGAATCACCACATCATTGGACACAGTGGAAGTCCTTGGACCACAAATCCTGAGACCACGAGCTGGCTGAACCAGCTCAGCAGTGGACAAAGTAACCCCCCAGACACCTGGCTGACCAGGAGCCCACAGACCACAAACCCTCCAACAAAGTATAACAAGCAGAAAGTCAGTCCCCGTAAGAGAGCACCAACCAGGAACCCAAAGACTGGGAGTCTTCTGAACCAATTTGATACTACTGGGCAGATGAGTCAAACAGACACTGGGTGGACAAGGAGTCCTACCACAAACAGGCCACTCCAGTGTAGCACAAGGCAAGTAAGTCCAGAGAATACCAGCCTTGCCAAGGGTCAAGAAACCACGAGTCCTGCATCCCAGATCAGTATTGGGAAAAGGAGTCACCTGAATAACACCATCAGCATATGCCCTTGGAACTGGAGTCTAAAAACTCAGCTCTCTAATAGGACAGGCAGACACCTGGAGAGTGGGCTTATCACGTGCCCTTGGATCTGGAAACCAACACCTCAGCTCTATCCTGGGCCTAGCAGGCACCTGAACAGCAGGCTCACCATGTGCCCTTGGACCTGGAGACCAAGAAAGGAGCCCTGGGCTAGGCCAAGCAGACAACTTGACAGTAGGATCCCCATGTGCCCATGGACCAGAAGACCAACAACTCAGCTCTCTGCTAGGCCAAACAGGTACCTGAGGAGCCAACTTATCATGTGTCCATGGACCTGGAGACCAACAACTCAGCACTTTACTAGGCCAAGCAGGCACCTGGACAGTAGGCTCACCATGTGCTCTTGGACCTGGAGACCAACAATGCAGCTCTGCACTAGGCCAAGCAGGAACGTGGACAGCAGGGGCACCAGGTGCCTTTGGGCCCGGAGATCAACAACACAGGTCTCAATTAGGCCAAAGAGGAACCTGGACAACAGGGTTAACATGTGCCCTTGGACCTGGCAACCAATAACAGAGCCCTGGGCTAGGCCAAGCAGATACCTTGATAGCGGGCTCACCATGTGCCCTTGGACCTGGAGAGCAACTACCAAGCTATCTGATAGGCCAAGCTGGTGCCTCGTAAGCAGGCTCACCTTGTGCCCTTGGATATCAAGACCAACAACTCAGCTCTGGGCTAGGCCAAGCAGACCCCTTGAGAGTGGGCTCGCCATGTACCCTTGGACCTGGAGACCAACAATGCAGCTCTGTGCTAGGCCAAGCAGGCAACTAGACAGTGAGTTCACCATGCGACCTTGGATTTGGATTCTTCCTTTCCCCCAGAGCATAGAGCACACAAACAATGGTCTTGCCACTTGGTCTCTCATTATGAGACATCCAAACCTGCTCAGCCTTGCACCGATGGGTCCACTGGATCCATGGAAACCTGGGAGTCTTCAAACTGATTCCTCCATTCCAACCTATCACTGCGCTACAGAGACGCAGGGACACCAGCCTAACCCAAATTCCTCTGAATGGGTACCTTTCAACTCTGCAGACAAGGGGACATTGGAGTCCCTTCTCACCTTGGATTTACTTCAGCTTGATGTCCATGTGGCCTGCTATCTGTGCATTATTCATTTTGGGGGGAGTTCTCCTCCTCAGAAGAAAATGGCACCATGCTGTGGGAGATGAAATAGTCAGTGGTTTGAAGACTTTGTATTAAAATTCAGGGCAGGAAAGGAGAAGGGGGGATG